TTTTTTTTTTTTTTTTTTTTTTTTTTTTTTTTTTGATCAGATTTCCACTCCGCTTGATCGTAAAGTATTCAGTTATTTTTATTAAAAATGATTTATTTCAGTTAGATATAAAGATATTCATAGACAATATTGCTGTTCGTTTGAAAAAATATATATAGAATCTAGTTGCAGTAATACATTTGAATACGTTATATCATAACGTGACGAAATCGTTTTTGCGAATATTTTATGCCGTTTCGTAAAACAGCATCGCGAAAACTAGCACGCTTCAACCACCAATACTATTTTCAGGTAGCGCAAGCAGCAATGTTGGTGGGTTAGGTGAGTAGGCGATGGAGTACCAGCCGAGTTCTGCGGCCGTCACGTCGGAGTGACGAGTGCCTTCCCTCCAACCTACGAAACCCATCCACCCGTCGGCCGCCCAACGTCACCCAATACCACCGCCGCCAACCACATACCCTCAGAGAGCTCTCCAGGTTCTCCAGAACCGCGGTGCACCCCCTTTCACTCTTTGCTTCTCTTCGACCTCTCTTCCTTCAACTACGGCCGACTAGTAGTCGAGGAATTCGAGTTACTATAAATCTCCCTTGACGGGCGCGATGCCAACATGGCGAGGAAGGGGCCGGGACATGGGTTGCGGGGAACTACGAGAACGAAGAAGGGAGGTGGCGTAGATAGGAGGCGAGATGGGGATGCTAGAAAAGAAGGAAACGCGCTTCGCCCATACCAGGAATTGTAATAGTTTTGCTAGAGGAGTTAACGCGATGTGCGAGAGCGCCCCCGCGAGAATAGAAAGAACCCGAAGATCGGACGATGTGGCTCTGTCTTGGTCCGTGCCATTCCGGACCAAAGGATATTTCTGCTTTTGTTAAGGTGTGTCACTCAAGATTCGCGTTATGCGCAGGGTTCGCGTTATGCGAACGAACCCTTCCGCTGCGGTTTGAAAATTGTAGAAGCAATTCTCATTGCTCGCAATCTATTTTCTCACAGAAAACTATGAATGATCATTAAATTGAATAAAATTAAAATAACTATCTAATTGCTTTGTATAAAAATAGTCAATC